GATAATTGCTAAGATATTTAATCTTAAAGTCAAGAAAACTTTTACTTAGAAAAAATTTGTCCCTTTTCTATTGACTTTACCCCATATGTTGAGCAAAGCTTAACTATACTAAAAAAAGATAACAAAATTGCAAATTACTTAGGCACAGATGATGTTTACCTAATAGCAATCATATGCAATATTCTGCATATCTATGATTGGGTACAATATAAGGAAACAAGAGAACTGGAGTTGACTCAAGAAGAAAGAATCCTAATAGATGAGAATATAAAACTCAATAATAGACAGGATAACAATATTATGCTTAAAGTAAAAGCATCTATAATAGAGGTAACTTCAGAATAACAAATTACAAAAGTTGAATTATCTTCTATAGAAATTATATTAACATATGCAAGTGATTGAACTAAAGATAACAAGAGTATAATAAGCACTAATTTAACCTCGATGGATTTTACTTATACGCAGATAGACAAGATATTAAACAAAGAAAATACTATAATAAAGTTTGAAGAGTTTAATTTACTATGCAAAAGAAGTTTATCAAAAAAAGATAGTGCTAGTGGTTTAAAAGCAAACATGTATAATTTGATAGAATCAACATTATTAGAAAATGAATATGGTATATTAGACTATAGTCTCAAAGATCAAATTATTAGAAAAATGATCAAGAACGACAAAATAGAAAAAAGGAAAAATAACAAAAAACCCAAGCACTATAAAAATATCTATAACTCAATGTGGGCTCCAAAAGGCAATTTCAGGTCACAAAAATCAACATCACAATATCTTTTCACAATTTGGGATCTTTTAAAAGAAATAAAGACAGAAAAAATTATAAAATTTCTTAGCTACTTTGGTATAGCATCTATTCTTGCATAGCAACAAAATTTCAAAACCAAGGCAGTCTATATAAAAATTTTAACAAATATAGAAAAAAGAAAAAATTTATTAAAAGACAATTGGTCAATACATTTAAATCATAGTAAAACTTATAGAACAACACCAAGTAGATTTGATAGTATCATGCTTAAAACAGAAACAAATACAAAAGTACAATTTATAATATGCCTAGAACAGTACTAGACAGTCTGCTGCTATGACAATTAAGGAGATACAATGTACAAGCAATGCATATTTTAAATAATTGTAATGGAAATCAAAGTAGAAGGGCTCACATCTATTTTAAGTCAGATAAAGACCTCGCTTAGGCACAAAAAACAAGCTTGTACTATTTTAATATGAAGCTCAAATAGTAGCCAAACCCAAATGTATCTGAAAGCAACAATCTTCAGAGTAAATGGCAATATTACAAGAGAGCTAATTTGTATAATAATAACAAAGAGATAAGATATTTAAACGAAGCTAAGATATATAGTGAACAAGGTTTAGACAAAAAACCAAGATGTTCAAGTATTATTAAAAAACCAAATAGGCACTATATGAAAAATAAAGAAAACAAACCTAGTACAAATACTAATTTTCACTCTATTGCAAAAATACTGTATATGAAAAAGTCTCTCTCAAGAATAGAAACGAGAAAGCAGAAGAGAGTAATTCATATAATGCAGTTAAAACAAGCTCAGCCAATCAGAAAACACTAATATTTCAGGATTATGGCACTGATAATGTAAACCTTGTAGTACAATCTCCATTATGTAAGGATTTCAAAACTAGAAAAAAAGACAAAGAAAAAGCTAAACCACAACTAGATGATATTACACAACATGAGGCTTTGGCTAAGATTTTTAAAAAGCTCACAAAAATTGAAAAAGATTATGAATTAATCTTTTTATTGAGAGCATTAGCTCCTAATCGCTCCTGAAGTTGCTATAAATATCTACCAAGTTGAAAGCAGGTCTAGCTTTTTGCAAAATGATATTAAAAATAAGGAAAATAAATAAGAAACAAGAAGGGCTAAAAAAAACAATATTGGAACAAATTAAAGAAGATCATTTATTATCATGTAAAATAGTATATCATAATATTAATGGACTTAAGAGCAATTTACAAAAGTTTAATTTACTAATAGACTGGGTAATGGAAAATATATACAATATAGTAGGCATAGTTGAAACAAATATTTTAAAAAAAGAGAGATACTTTCTCGGAAAGCTATATAAAGAATACTACATAGTCTGGTCAAGCTCATACCAAGAAAAGAAAAAAAGATCAGGAGTAGACCTCATAGTATCAGAAAAATGGAAGAAACATTTAGATTTTATTTAGAGATTTGATAAATATAGCATAGCAGTAAGCTTTCTTTTTAAAAAACTAGAATTAGTTATCATAGTCGTATATATACTATCTAATGACAATAATAAGAAGCAGAGTATAAAGAGAAACATTATAAAAAAATTTATAAAGAAATTCTCTAGCTTATATTTCATTATCATAGAAGATTTTAATACAATCATAGATCAAGATCTTAACAGAACTTTGCCAACATATATAAAAGCCAAAAATAGATCTATTACATAAGTAGCTAATAAAACAAAACTTTGTAGACACTTTTCGAGTATTAAACCCATCAGTATTGAAGTTCACATGGTCAAATTCATATACAAAAACACGAATTGACCAGATTTGGATATCAGAAATATTAGTATATAGCTTACAAGTAGCCAATATTATAAATATGTCTTTATATACAGAAGTGATCATAGCAGTATAGACATAATATTAGATCTTAGCTTATATATTACTCAGACTAGCTTAGCTAATATTAAAAGAAAATATAGAAAAAGAACAATTTTTCTATATGATAAAGCAAGTAAAGAAAACTAGGAAGACTATAAATTAAAGCTTGACAGAATGCTCAAAAACAAAGAAATATCCTTTCAAAAATTATCTACAGCAATAAAAGATAAAATGCCAATTCCTGATATCCTGAGTGAATATTAGAGCATAATAGAAAAAAGCATTATAGAAGCAGCAAACAAAACTATTCCAAAAAAGAAAATCTTTAATATAAAATATACAAAGAAACAAGAAGTTAAATGGTCTAAACTATCTAAAGCAGTAGTAATACTCAAAAGATAGCTATGTAAAATTAAAAGAAAAGTAAATACAATGGTAAATCTTAAAGAAAAAAAAGCTTTCAACCAAGAAATAAGAGAAATCAATAGCGAATTTCAAACAAATATTCAAGAAGTTATTGACAAATGGGCTGATGATTTACTAACAAATCTTAAAGGTTGGTAGAAGATACTTAAAGAAAAAAACCAAAGAGAAAAAGAAGTAGTAACAAGAAAGAAAATAAACGAAAAGATTAGTACTAGATGTGAAATGATAAGCAAAGCCCAAGAAAAAATGATAGCAAGTCTCTTAAATAAACTCTTGAAGAAAATTAAGCTAGAAAAGCTAGTTATTAAGAAGAGCCTCTATAATACTCTAATTTATGATAAAGAACAGATATTGAAAAAAACACATGAGCACTTTTAAGTACAGTTTAGATAAAGAAATGTATTAAATACTATAGAGAGTAAAGCATAGAAAGAGATTTACAAACCTCAAAAGCAAATACATAAAGACTAGTATAAAGATCTAGGGAGAGAAGTTACAAGTAAAGAGTGGACAGATATGTTAAATAGTCTTAAAAGAAAATTGGTGCCAGGTCTTTCAGGGATCTTCTATATTCTAATTAAGGCTGCAAGCAACTATGCATAGCAGTTATTTAGAAGCTTGGTATCAGCATGTATAGTTACAGAGACTATGCCAAAGAAATAAAAAGTTGCAATAATCCACTTAATTCTGAAAGATTGTGACTAGAATTATTTATTAACAAATGTGTGACCAATAGCACTACTAGAGTTCTTTAGAAAATATATAACAAGAATATATACAAAAAGGCTTACATATGTTTTAACTAAAAGAAATATCCTCAAAGGGCCAAATTTTGCAGATTTTCTAGGTGACTTAATAGAAAGTTCTATATATATCTTAAACTTTATAATAGAAGATACATACTCAAAGAAAAATGAGCTATAGATTTTGTTACAAGATATACAGAAGGCCTTTGACTCAGTATCACTGAAAATACTAAAGCTAGCTTTGAAGAGGCTCAGGATTTCTCTCAAAAACTTGGAATTTATCTTGCAACTTTTTGATAATTGAGAAGCAAGTATAATAACAGATTATGAAAATACTAGTGCATTTATAGTACCTGACGGTATTGACCAAGGAGAGGTTATATCTCCAATTTTGTGGAGAATCTTTTATAATCCTCTAATTGAAAAAATACAAAGTGATCCAAATCTAGGATATATACTGTAATTAAAACAGAAACATTATCTGAAACAAGTACAAAACAAATATATAATCAAAGTTGGCAACAAGCAGAATTGGTGTATGCAGATGACACAACCTGGATTACAAAAGACAAAGCCCAAATGGAAAAGATTATACAAATTGCAAAGAAATTCTTCCAGATAAACAATATTCAAATAAATAGTAGCAAATCCAAATTGATAATATTCAACTCAAAATTAAATAAGCCTTCAAGAGTGCTTAAGTTTGGTAGAAAAAAGATTAGAGAAAAAAATGAAAATCAGATAAGCAGATTTTTAGGAGTTTGGATAAATAATAGGCTTAAAGACTTATATATTAAAGCAAAAGCAAAAGAGATTATTAAAGAAACAGTTCTAAATCTCGCCCCAAAAAAACTAATACTAAGTCAATTATTATATCTTAACAATACTTGTATAATTCCTAAGCTCTGCTATATGTTACAAGTTACTCAATTATCAAAAGAGTCACTAAAAGATATTCATAGGCCAATGCTGAGATCAATTAAAATAAAATAAAGTTACAAATCTCAACTGAAAACTTCATACTTAAGCACAAGAGCTTGGGAAATTGCCAAGTACTCAAAGAAGAATTATTCACTAAACAAACTCTTAGCCTACTTAAATGTTTGAATAGTATAGGTGCAGCACTAGCAACAACAAAGATAAAGCTTAAGCAAGGATTTGCTAATATAAGAATAGTAAATATACAAAAAGATTTAGGAAAAATTAAAAATATCAAAAGCCTATAGAAACACAATCTTTCATGCTTAATACTTTCTGCGTGCATTAGAGCTTGATTTGGTTTTCAATCTTCCAGAAGATTTGGTACAAATAAAACTACCTGGCCAACTACTTAATCTCCTGTTAAACCAACAGTTTAATGCAAAAATGGCAAAAGCTCTCAAGAACCTTAATCTATACACAACATGTCAATTAATTAATAAGGAAGGAGATAAGCTTATCTCTTGGTCACAACTCAAGCTATGTAAGAATAGATTAAGAAAAGGCAGGAAGCCAAAATAGTTCCATTATCTTGAAACATTACTTCTCGAGAACATGCAAAGTAGATATGTTAAAAAAAATTCTGCTTAGAAAACTACCAAGTTTGGTCAATTAGTTATAAGCTTCTAGGCCCAACAAGTGATAAAAGAAAGAAAGAATAGTTGTATATAAATAGTAAAGCAACAACAGATAAGGGCAATGTAGTCAAGATAATTTCCAAAAAGAAAAGGAGCATATTGGAAGAGCACTAGCAAATAAGCTTGTAGCAAGAGCCAGACCAAATAGAAATAGCACAATGCCCAGGTTGTAAATTGAATACAAGTTTGAAGAAAAATATATATTTATACCATGTTAAAAAGAAAAATATTATAGAAGTATTGCCACAAGGATATCAAAAAGAAAATACAAAAATAATAGATGTTAATGAATCAAGAATTGCAATAATGGCAAAATCATCCTAAGAGATTACCTATTTAAGCTCTCTGACTATTTACAAGTGAGAGTACGACTAGCCATACCTGCAACTTTTGGTTGCCTATTTAAGTAGTCTGCCCGAGGTTCCACACTAGCTGCCATGCCTGCAACCCAACTAGGGGATTACCTATTTAAACTCTCTGGTCACAACCGGCCCACCATTTCTTATCTAACCAAGGTGTAACTCACTATTCATATGCTAGATTTTGCGACACCTGAAAGTAATAGTGATGATAATAATGATAGCGATAATAATAATAATAATAATAATAATAATAATTTTGAGATATATATATATATTATTTTTTATTTTTTTTAAATGATTATATACCAATTAATATATATATTCTAATCTATTAGAGCATCAAAAAAGTTCTGAATACTTGCATGTTATTGCTGATTACCCAACGTGATAGAATTCTTTTTATCTTGCTTGAAATTGGCTTTTAAATTAAAAAATCATATTAGTATTCTTGTAAATTTACTTTCTACCAAATCTGACTCTGATACCAGAAAAGATCTCAAATATTTAAAAAAAATTATACTTTCCAATGATGAGTGGGATATGATAAATAATCTAGTGAAGATTCTCCAACTATTCACTAAGACCACTGATTATTTAAGTGAAAGCAATTATTGCACTTATTCAATAATGGTTTCTATTTTATTTGAGCTTAAAAAAAGTTGTCAGCTGTCAGCTTTAATAATGATATTAGAGTAGAAATTGATGATTATGATGATAACCAAGACTTGTTTGATGATGCTAGCAGTGATGAAGAAGAGGAAGATGAACAAGCTTATATGCCAACTAATATAGATATTAATAAAATTAAATTAATTTATATAATGCAATAAACTATTATTGGCCCCAATTAATATTACCAAATTCATTTTTACCTTGCCTTCTGGATCCAAGATATAAAAGTCTTTTTTTCATCATATTTGATAAGCAGTTCGCCACAGAAAATCTCCTTCTTGAAGAGTATGATAAGATAAAAAATAGCATAAATAAGGAGAAAAAAAAATAGGCAGAACAGAGCTTAAAACAACTCCAGTAAAA